AAAGTGTTCATAAATGTTGTAAAAACTCACCATACATGATGTAGATGTTTGAACAAAAAGTCCAAATCGAGTAAACTCGATCGTAGCAAGGCCGCCATTTTTTTCCGCACTCGAGTTATCTCGACCGTAGCAGTTAAAGGGTTAATAAACAAAATTTTTCTACTCTTCACACGTTATATAAATATATCAAAAATTTTCATTCTTGCACATTTATTCAGTTCGTCACAAAATATTACGAAAAAACAAGCACGATTTTTCAGTAATCTAACCCTCCAGTAGCGGGATTCTGTAACTCGTTATTGGAGTTAACGACACTTTCGTTATTGTTGCGCAGCTTTTGTATACCGTAGAAAAGCTGCGCAACAATAACGAAACTGTCGTTAACTCCAATAACGAGTTACAGAATCCCGCTACAGTCCCCTTAAGCCCAGGTCTAATGTTGCGACTCAAAATAAATCATATTCGCAAGGTATTTTTCCGACGTGTGAAACATTTTGGAGGTTAATAGAAACATAAAACATTTATTTACTCACAATAACAGTGTTTCTGTGCATCAGGAAGAGACACACCTACTCGTGATACATTCAACTCACAACTGACTGATCAGCGTTGACGCCTAGCATATGTTAACAAAATTATAACAATTGACCATCCATTCCCTATGCCCATTTATTCCGGACTTACTCTATTTCACGAGTGGAACTTTCAGCGCTGTTCACTGCGACGGAACGTCGCATCGCGGGGATTTCACGAGAGCGAGAGACGGGGCGATATACTTTTAGATATGCGCGGGAGAAGGTGGAAACACCCTAGTTACGCTGATCGCAAGCCATCACGGCCGGCGGGTGCATTAGCCCCCGCATTCGTAATTATTACGCTGACGCGTAATGACGTTTACTATCGCGCGCCGTCGCATTTCCGCGGCGCGCTCGCGCCCTCTTGCCTCCCCCCGCTGCCACGTCGTATCCTTAATTAGATTTTCCGTGAGCAAAAAATACGCGTGCGTAACCAAGTAAATCGGGAAAAATTGCGGACGCGCGCGCGCCTCTTTCGTCGATATTTCCCTGCGTCGAGAGATGCACGTCGCATCACTCTCCGCGCGCGCGCGTCGGGTTAAAGAGGGAGGGAAGGTGGATGGGTGAAAAAGGGAAAAGGAATTTATATATTTCTCCCCGCCGCGCGCAGCTCGTGCAGACGCTGAAAACGTGCGCTCCGCAAAAATCCCGTAAATTCCCCCGACTCTCAAAGAAATACCGTAATGCCATTTCGTACGGGATCTGCCCCCGCGGGCCACTGGGGGGGGAGAGGCGGAGGGGGGCGGGGCAGAAGTATCGGAAGTGAAATAAAAGAGGGCGCGGCGGAGCAATAATAAGACCGTCGTTGAAAAAAAAAAGGAAAGGAAAAAGAAGCACCGCCGAAATTAATTACGGTCCTCTCCACCCCTTCCCCGTCGTCTAATCCCTTCAAGCGGCTCCCGCTTTTAATTCTACGACGGACAAAAGGGCGGGCGCGCGCTTTAATGCTCACGGCAGTCCGGGAGTCCTGCCGCGTCCCGTACCTATTACATAATCAACTTGGCGCAAGTTCGGTCAAGGAAACGCGCCGCGATTTCCGCGTCTGCGATCCTTTTTATCCCGACGAGTTGCAGCGGTCCTTCGCCCTTCGCAGCCTCTCTGCCGCCGTGGCGGAAGGGCGAAAGTGCGGTGTCGCGTTGCTGATTGGAAAGGGTGAGACACGGACAGTGAACGAGAGAGGGAAAGAGAGAGAGAGAGAGAGAGAGACAGAGAGAGTGCTTCGATATGAGCTGACCGCGTGAGAGAAACGCGAGATAACGCAACGGAAACGCCGTGCCCGAGGAAAACCTCGGCAATATAACGCGCTGTGCGCTCAAGGATTAACCGGTTCGGCTGACGAATCCTTCTTAGCGCTTTCCATCGGCCCGAAAAAGCCGTCTACCACCTTCCCTCTCCCCCCCCCTCCGGTTGCTCATTGCGCTTGCGGCTGCATCCGGCCGCGCGAGGAGGAGAACGAAAGGAAGGAAGGAAGGAAGGAAGGAAGGACGGAAGGAAGAGACAAGATGGGCAGGCGGGGGTGGGGAAGGAGGCCGGGGGAGGGGGGCTGGACGCGGCGTGCCCGAGTAAATCACGGTGGATTTAAGTGGATTCTACAAACTCCCTCGCGCTGGCGTTACCCCCCGACGATGTATCGTCCTCGTAGGGTCGTTGCGGCGTCGCGCCACCGCAGCGCGGGTGTAACGGGGGTGAGAGATTCAGAGCGAGAGTGAGCGAAAGGGGCAGGCTGGGCGAGAGGGGGGCCGGCGCTCCCTCGCCGAGCGCCGGTAACATCCGTTGCGTCTTACGGCCGCGGCTTACAACGGATCTTGGCCGACTGCAAAGCTCATGGACGGGGTGCTGGCGGGATTAGTCGGCAGGGCCTAAGGCCTGACACATAAAAGGGCCTCAAAATGAGTTACGCGGGGATTTGCGTGTCGCAACACGTGGGACCCACTTTGCGCCTCGGCGACGGGGCTCCAGCGGCGAAGCGGATCGTTGCGAGTGAATTGGCCGATTCCGCCCACGCAAACACGCGCGCGTTTTCTCGCTAAGCTTGGTTTGACCTTTTCCGGCTGAGAGTGAACGTTTTTCGTTGTAATTGTACGGAAAAGGTTACGCACGCGTCCCTTGGATCTCCTTTTCACTTTGATGCATGTTATGGGGGGGGGTGAGTTCTGAGTTCTTGATTCAACAGCCATGATAAATCAGTTTGAAGTATCGAGATTTTACGTCTCCTGGTGTAAGGAATGTTCGCCAAGCAGTTTTTACTCGATGTGAGTGAGCGTAATTATCTTGTGAATCTGGAATCCTAAATTACGTGAACACCCGGTACGTTATGATAACAAGTGAATATTTGTTCCGGCCAAACCCACACCGTGATGTAGTTGCTCCAATTTAAAACATTCGCGCGCAAAAAGGAAAAAAGGAAAAAAAAATACGAAAATCGCGCATTCGCTGCGAATGCGTAAAAAATTCCGGCACTTTAAAGTAACATATCTCGGAAACTACATAGTTGCGAAACTAAAAGTTGCACGGAAATCCATCCTGCGCAGTAAGCATACAAACAAAAAGAGAAAAAAAAATAATCAAGAAATGTAACCACAGAAGCGACCATTCTTCTCCCGTTCGGTCGCGCGTTTCGCTTCCCGCGCGAGCCGAATCCTGACGACCCGCCGAATCGACAAGATACCTGAAGACGCACATCGCGTCTCGGCTCGAAGAAAACACGACGACGAAGAATACATATCCCGTGCTCCTCGCAAATTAAAAAATTCGCGACGACGTAATTTACAGCGCGCGAGCGCTTCTTTTGCATCGTCCTGCGCATTTACGCGCATCGCGCGGCGAGGCGAATATTCGAGAGTTACTACTGTGATCAAAAAGTATCCGAACTTTATTTTTTAAAAATCGCGGGTAAACTGCAAGTCAAATCCGTTTGCTTCCCTAAGTTGGCACACATGTCCTCCACATTTGATGAAAAAATCATGGCGTTCCTTCGAGCCGTTTGAAAGTGGCAGTTGTTTGTGTCAATAAAGATTGTTGTGCACGGCGACTTTTACGATGTCGAAAAATATGGAGCAAAAAATTTGTTTGAAATTTTGTGCTGAGAACGAAATTTCGTTCACAAACGCATTCTAAATGTTGCAAAAAGCTTATGGCAATGATTGTTTATCGAAAACAAGTACGTTTGAGAGGAGTTTAAGAAGTTTCAAGAAGGACGAGAATCCGTTGAAGACGACGCACGCTCTGAAAGACCGTCAACGTCAACGGGATGACGCTCACATTGAGAAAGTGAAAGAATTGGTGCTTCAAAATCGTCGATTGACCGTGCGAGAGGTAGCAGATGAAGTTGGAATATCATTTGGATCGTACCAGCACACAATCCGTAAGAAACGACCGGAATTGTGGGAAAACAACTAGTGGATTTTGTATCACGACAATGCACCATCGCATACCTCGACATTTGTGCGTGAATTTCTGACAAAAAACTCAACGAATGTCGCTCCGCAAGCACTGTATTCACCAGACATGGCCCCCCGCGACTTTTTCTTGTTCCGCCTACTGAAAAAACCACTTCGCGGACAGCGTTTCGAATCGATTGAGGACATAAAAAAAAATCACTGCGTGAATTGAAGGCCGTACCGTCTGCCGCGTATGAACGATGTTTCCAGGACTGGATCAAACGCTGGCATATGTGCGTTGCAAGCAATGGCGACTACTTTGAAGAAGACTATAAGAATTTTGATGATTGAATTGTAGTTTTGATTTTTAAAAATAAAGTTTGAATCACAGTAGTATTTCTGCGCTTCGCTTCGACTCGCCTCGCCGGAACAAACAGTATTGCGGATCGCTGTTGTACGACATCGGTGGAATTTCCGTGGCTTCCTCATGAAAGTCACGCTGTGCGAAGCGACGGTCGATTGTGAACGAGAGCGCGCGCCTTCGATTCACCCTTTCCCTTCGTCCTTCAATCCCGCCCTTCCTGTCGTCACCGCGGCGTGACGCGGCTCTCTCGCCGTCACGGCGGCGGTCCATTTTGCCGTCGCCGCTGCTGGCTCTTCCATCGAATTACAAGAACCGCCGCTGATCCCTCCCCCGCCTTCGGAAATACCGTGGCGTGACAGGCCGAAGGTCGACAAGGGCGAACGCCGCGCCGGTACGGAGTGATGGTGAATTTTTCACCCTCTCGGCGAGACGCTGGAATCGCGTCCGCGGCAATTTTTCCGCCGAGTTTCTCGGGACTCGGATAATTGGTCTCTCCGGCTAGCAATTTGCGGCCACGCGGTAAAAACGCGTCGCGACAGGGCGATTGTCCGTTTATCGAATCGACGCGAGCTCGTGTGAACATCCGCGGACTTAGGTATTTCGGCCTGCCGGCTCTCGCTGAACAACCCGACTCATACGATCACGAGGACACAAACGACAAGAAAGAAGGGTCACACTCACATAAGCAAAGTTGTAAGATCGCGGCGAAGAGAGCTGCGAGTTTCCGCGCTGCCATGAGAATCGACCAGTTTTCTGATGAATCTTCGGGACACCAGTCGGCGATCTGAAAACATGACAGAACATTTCTCCCTCGATAACTAGCACGTGACAGTCTTATCGTCGATGGTGATGTTCACCGGCAGACCCGGAATCAACGTTTTGTGCCAAAAGCGGTGGGAGCGAATTTCATATTTTACATGGAAGCTTACCTATAAGGGTTTCTCCGGGTTGCTGGTGACGAGTCCAGGGTCGAAGTTTCAAAATTCAAAATAGCGGATCCAATATGGCGGTTTCAAGTGGCCAATTCCACCATAGATATTCCACCATAGAAGCTTATCAAACTCGGCATGTTTTTCTGGTCATGGACTGTCATAAATCTGAAGTTTCCACCAAAGCCATTCGGCAAAGAAGTAGTTTCCTCCGATATATTTCATCCATTAATAAAGAGGTAAGAGTATCCATAATGGAATACCGTTAGTCACTAGAAGCCGCTATGTTGGAGATCCGCCATTTTAGATTTTGCAATTTCGACTGGATTCATTATCAGCAACCCAAACAATATGAACATATTAAATATAATCTTCTCCATAATGACAACATTGACCACTTGAAGCCGCCATAGTGGATCTGCCGTTTCGAATTTTGAAATTTCGATCCCAGGCTCGTCACTAGCGACCCAAAAAACCATCTATAAAGAAGATTTCATATGAAATTAAACGGAGTATCAATTTTAATAAATATTCTTCAAAACTAACAAAATTGAGTATTTAAGCGACGCCATATTGGATCCGCCATTATGAGTTTCTCAAATTTGATTCCGGATTCACAGTCAGCGACCCAAAAAACATGAAAATTGGCAGAGCTATTCATGATGCTCATATATGAGTCCTTACCAGTGAACTGCTTAACCTTTAGAGACTACCATGGCCACCATTTCACCCCCGGCGATTTTCCGCTCTCATTAAAAAATCACATTGACAATATCGATTTTACAAATATTTATTCACGCTATCAATAGTAACAACTTTGTGATAAAACAGACCAATTCTTGCATATGCTCTGTTATAAACATAACCAAAAAGTATGCAGCTTTGGGTGAGGTGGTAGCTTTTAAGGGTTGAAGCCAACGGCGGCACTCGGGCGGCCGTCCAAGAATATGAATTCGCCAAGACTGGAAGCAGTCGCTGCTGAGTGCGTTTTCGCTTTACGCATGTGTGTGTGTGTCGTGCGCACACTTGGCAACAATTGCCAAAGGTTGCAACTCAGGCGCAATTTGTTGTCAGCGATCTCGGCTGCGTTCTGTCACGAGCCGATCTCGCTCGGCTAATTTCACGCGCTAATTGCTCATAATTGCGGTCCCGCCGATCGGGCCGGACTGACTCAGCGATTCGACTGCCGATTCCTCCACCGTGAGAAATTTATTTTCTCCCATCGCATCTATTAATTCATATGCGTCGCTTTCTCCGCTATACTTTTTCCTCCTCAAGAAAGCGAAGGAGAAAGAGGACGTCGATTTTAATTATCGTCTGTCTCTCAGTCTTACGCTCCCGGTACCCTCGACGTCATGGAGGTAAGAAAGAGAGGGCGAGAAGGAGAGAGAGGGGGGCGGGGGAGAGGGAGGTCGAAAGTAGCTTCGAAGCAAACTAACCGCAACGCTGGGGAGGCTTGCCGATTGTAATTAATGACCACCCCGTAGTTATCCTATCACCAATTAAAGGAGCCACGCCGAGCGACGCCTCTCGTTATTTCGACGCCGCTGAAAATCGCGGCGCGTCGCATGCACAGTTGAGCTTTAATGAACACGAACAATGAAGCGTAAAGGACGATTAAGCATTAGCGAGAGGCGCGCGCGCGTCTCCTGGAGATTCTTGACTCGAGGTACAAAGGGAGAAAAAAGAAGAATATCGTTGTATCGCGGAGGAGAGAAGGGGCTTGCCGGAAGGAAGAAAAGTGGAATAGCTGGGGGGGGGGCGAAGCAAATCGCGTATCAAGTGTCCTCGGCGGTGGAGCGCCGCGCAGGCAACGTTAAATCATGCAAACAGATAATAACCGACGAGAGAGAAAGAGAGAGCGGCGGAGAGGGGGTGAGGGTTGAAGAAGTATTTGATCAGGAAGAAGGAGATCTTCCGAGGGCACGCGAGACGCGAACAATGCCGGTGGAATAATAGCGAGCTTCCGGCGAATCGCAGGGTCGAGCACGGGAGGCAAGACACGCTTAATCCTCGCTGCATCAAGATCCTGCGAGGCGTCCGTTCGACGATGCCGAGGCGAACCACGGTGCGCGGTTTATCTTGTCAGATTACTGGCTGCTCGAACTTTTCAAACTCGCCGGCCCTGGCGAGTAAACAACACACCGGCGCGGGCGGAACGTCGGATGCACTTTTAACGCCGCGCCGCGCCGCGTCGCGAACTTGCCCGATCCTGTCTGCCTTCTTTGCCACTTTTCAGCGCACTCGGCGAGCCATGGCGATGATTCGCGAGCGCGACGTCACGAGCGGGAAGCGCCTCGAGCCGACGACATGAGTAAGTTCGGTGCACCGGTTGGTCCGCTGGAACTTCCGGGCGGACTCGCCGAGGCTCGATACGTCCGATGTGTATGCGCGGTCTTAGGCTTCCGGATATTAATGCAAACGGAGGGGCGGAGGAAGGGAGGGGGCGGGTTTCCCTTCTCGCACCTCTAGCCTTTTCCCCCGGAGCCGCTGCTCGCCGACTCATTCCGCGATGTCGATAAAACCGCGGATGAAGAATTTTTATTCCCCCGCATGTCACGCGATGAAAGAAAATGTCGGCGCGCGGCCATCGATCCCGCTCGGGCCGCACCTGCTCCCAACGCAAATCAATCTGCGATCTCCGCTATCACACCTCCGATCGACAGCAACCCTTACGATGCGCTAATAGCGCGATTCGAGTCGCAATCCGCCTCGGCCGAGCGTGTTTCCCTTCGTTTTTTCCGCGAAAAAGTGCCGGACAAGAGGCCGCGGCGACTGCATCGAGCCGCGAGTGTTCAGATCCGCGTCTCATCGCCCGAGCAAAAAGAATCATCCTCATGAAGCATAAAGCTCCGATAAGGCTGAAAGTAGGATGTCTTAAAAAGAGATGCCTCATTATCAGGCCCCGAAATGGATCATTTACGGATGCCTTAGATTTAGATTTAAATAAGGAAAACTGATAAGGACCTTAGAAGGACCTATTAGGGGTGCCTTAAATTTTTACGAATAAATAAGGTTTTGATAGGAAAAACTGAAAGAGGCCCTAGAAGAGTTTATTACGGGTGCCTTGGATCTAACAAATATAAGGCTTTGATAGAGGAAAAATTGATAAGAGCCTTGAAAGAATTTTTTAGGGATACCTTAGATTTTACGAAATAACGCTTTAACATGGGAAACTGATGTGGGCCTTAGAAGGATCTTTAGAAGGATCTTCTAAGAGGATGCTTTAGATATACAAAATCAAGTTTTGTTATGGAAGATTAATAAAATCTGAAGCGTGTAATAAAATTGTTATAGTTTAGTATTGTTTTATAATAGATATGCTATCTGATTCTTTTAAAGATCTGTTAATTATACCGCAATTAAAAACAAATTTTATTAGTTTTATTAGTTGCCATATTCATTAGCCCCTCCCAAGAATTTTTCTAGTATTGCCTTCATTTTGAAATGCAGCAAACTTTAATAAAAACGGTAGCAGCATTTTTGTGTGTAAAGAATACTATATTTCATTGTAAAGTATGCTATATTTTTAAAATAAAAAATTTTTGTTGTATACTAGCAGGGTTATAGAGACATAAAGAAATTATAGTTTAAATTTCTTAGAATGAAAAAAACGAATATTTTTACTCGAGCAATAATAAAAATATTTCCTTATAAGGCCCTATTAATATTGCCTTATAAGGACCGTTAAACCATTTATTACACATCTTATGTAGGGCCCTTGTCTTTCTATCCCTACTAGAGCCCGATTAATGTTAAAGAAAAATAATCAGACCCTGTTAATTACCAGAGCCCTATCGATTTAACAAAAAGCTTCGGGCATCGAGACTTTCTGTTCGCGTAGTCGCACCGAGAAAAATCTCCGAGATGTCCGGTTGTTAATTTCCGCTCGAGTATCCGATATATTCCGCGAATGTTCGACCGAATATTCCGACAGTTTTTCTCAGTGCAGGGGGTGACCGTGCAATGAAGGTTAACGATCCCGATTCGATCTTTTCCCTCGAAAGTCGATTTTTTCACTCGATTTAAAACATCGAATTTTCGGGCATAAACGGGCGAGCGAAGAAACGGCAGACGGCGCGCGTGGGACTTGGGACTAAATTTGTGGGCGCGCGTTGCAAGAGCAACGGGGACAAAGCTTTGAAATTGCAGCAACGAGCCGGCGAAGCCCGCAAAATCCATTGCGCCGAAAAGCGCGCGCGGAAACGCAAGCACAACGCGGCTCTCTCCGCCGCCTCATTCCCCAAACGAACATCGCTCTCTCGCGCGGCCAATCCAAGCCGCGCCGCACATCCATCCCCGACAACGTCAGCCGGCCATCGGCCGCGGCGCGATGCCATAAAGCATCAAAACGGCGCTTCGTTGCGGCAGCTTTATGGCGCGCCGGCGGATCGATTCGCTATTTGTCAGCAGTCATCTCGGAAGACAATCCGCCGGCTCGGCCGGCTCGGCCGGCTGGCCGGCGCGGCGCATCGAGGCGGCCTCGCGGCCGCCGCGCCGCTGAGGCGAAGTTTCCCGGCGAGAAAAATGGACGACGGAGGGGGCCCGGGCGGACAGGGATGCTTATAGGGCACAGTCGGAAAGGCGCGATTGATTTATCGCAAAAAGAAGCCGCGGTAAATGGACTATTTTTCAATCGACCAGGCGAGCACGGCCGGGACGAGCGTGAGAGAGAGAGAGAGAGAGAGAGAGAGAGGCCCGATGGAAAAATGGAATTTCCCCGCGGCGAAATGGAATTTTGAGCGCAGGCGGAAGCCTTCGCGACGAGCGCCAGCCGTCATACGTGCCTCAGTCATCCTCCGGTGATTCCGCGGCTGTTTCGATACTCCCTCGAGCGGAGTGCCGCTGGTTACCG